ATATAAATATATTTGAGCATTTTTAATAAAAAGTTATATCTACATATGGTAAATCCAAAATCATTTTGGCCTGATTAGTTAAACATATGGAAGGCATATTTTTCAAACCCAATATCCCAAATAGATAATATTTAGTTTAAATAAATAGCACAAAAGAGATAATTTACTTAGTTTGGCCAACCACTTGGCGACTTGTGATCAGCAGTGGAATTCTGACAGTCGCTACGTTAAATTTCCGTCGCCAAAATTCTCTAAATGAAAAGCAGTGGAGCCTAAAAGTATACTACAGGGAAAAGTAATAGCTGCGATGGCTAATCTGCAAAGGGCCAGTTTTTCAGTGCACGGTCGTGGTTTAAACTCAGTTTAAACGCCCGATCTTGGCTGGTTTAAACTACGATCAACCAATCAAATGTCAGCCAGCTGTTCAATTTAAGCTCAGTTTACTTAAACTAAGTTTAAACTGGCACTGAAAAACTGGCCCTAAATCTGGCAGTATGATGGGCTTTTAAGTGAATGTGGCGTGCTGTTAGGCGCGCCTGAAATTCTTTTGGAGATTTTTGGTAATCACAATTAGCGATAGCAAATGATGGGATCTGGCTGCAGTACTGACAATCACACCGATAAGAGAGAACAGATTCTCTTAAGAAAGCAGAGAAATATACAACATGGAAAAGTAATAGATGCAATGTGTTATTAGCCAAATCTAGCAGTATGAGGGGCCTGTAAGTAATTGTTGCATGTTATTAAGTGCACGTGATATTCTTTTGGAGATTTTTGGCGATCAAAATTACCGATAGTGAATGTTGGAATTTGTAAAATAAGACAAATACTTTACGAGTATAGGTACTCATATCTTTCACACCGCACAACGCCATTTCTGATGATTGGGTGATGCTACATGATACTAGCCTAATTTTAAGGACAATTTCAAAGCTGTGATTTAAATTTCAGTATCAAATCTAGTTTGGAAAATATGACACATGGGCCTTTTTACAGTAACACAATATATTTCTTTTTATTCTAATTTTATTAAGATTTCAGGTTGAAAAAACTTTCTTTTGTAAAACTTCCCTTTAGAGGTTGAAGGCTGAAGGTTGAGCTGTTTTACATTTTAGTGGTCCGATTGTAGAAAGCGGATGCCTACGTGTTCGTCTCGGTGTGAAAAAGGTGGCCAGGTCTAAAGAGAGTTGCCACCTGTTAAAAAATTTAATTATATTAAATGGATAGGATTAATCAAATATCGCAAGAGGATTGCCACCTGATTCAAATAAGGTAAATGAATTACTACAATGTGAGTCTCAATCGAAATAGTTTTAGAAAAGCTCCATTTCTAAACTACATGTAGGCGGGTTTCCACCTGTCTATAAAATTAAATAAAATTTGAATTAAGAGAATTAGGTAATTGAAATACATATGTACATAAATATGTATCACAGCATGGCTGAAGAGGGTTATCACCTGTTTAAAAACGTTTAAATAATTTAATAAGTTAATTGAATTAATTTCTTAACTTTGTTTAGGAGAGCTCAAACCTGTTTAAAAAGTCGTATTCAAGTTAAGTTTCATATATATTACAAATGAAACTAAAGCCAGCTAGTTTGTTTTTTTACATGGAGAAAACGAGCAACACCTTCAACAAAAAAAAAATTCAAAAATTAACGGCCTCTTATAGCCATCCCAAACTTGCTCTTACAAAGCTCGAAATTTTTACGAAAGTTTGTTGATTTGTTTTAATCGAATTTTCTGAACATTTTTTGGACTTAGCAAATTTTCCTGTCATTGATTATAAACGAGAAAACATAAAATAAAGACGTTTATCCTTTACGAAAAGATGCATTCTCAAATTTCTCTAGCCTCCTGTATCAAAATATGAGTTTTCATAAAAAGTGGACTTAGCAACTCTTCACTCTAAGCCAGCGCTATACTTAAAAAAAAATAATTATTATTAAAAAATATTAAGACAAATGATCAGATCGTATCAAAATGTGAGAGTCGTAAAGTTATGAAAAGCACTATATTTATATACAGATCTCTTACGATAGATTTCAGGAAAAACTTTCAGGTAAAGTTTTCTTCACGACAAAATTGGAAAAGTGCAGCTGTACTGAATGCAGCTAAGCGAATATTCAGTATTCTCAGAGAAATGCTTTGACATGTTGATTAATAAATCGCATTGCCCGAAGCTCATGAGTTCGATGTCCAAATAGTATTTATGCT